TGGACGAATTACAGCAGCATTTGAAAACATTCAAAACGAGTATCAAATTTTAGTCAAGACCGCCAAAATCATGTGCGACGTTTAAATCGGTGTATTCAGGTTGGAGGAAGACATTTTGAACAATTCTTGTTATGACATCATGTACAAAAGGCAAAAATTAAATGCATTAAATCCTATTTAGTCAATTCACCGTCTTTCTAAATTCTAACGTGTCTTGGGGCTCTAGTGCCGTAGTGACACTTTTCCGGATATGGGTTTCTATACTCAAATGTTTTCTACTGTTACACTGAATAACCCCTACAAGTTAGATCCCATAGTTCTGAAACACCCTGTAATCTACCACAAGTTAATTTCAAGCACTTATTTGCTCATTATTATTTATGCCACTTATATGAAAATTTTCATGTAACTATGATTAAGATACTTTAACATTGAAAAATTTCTGTGCGGCATTATGCTATCTTAATTTATTGTATGGGATATACAGGGTGACAGGTAAATAGGTGTAAAACATTTTAGGAGGTGATAGTACAGCCCCTTTGCTATCGAAATTAGTATATAATACCATACCCTATATTCAAATGTTGAAAAGTTATTGACGATTCAAGATTTTTTTAAAAACAATCCATATTTCAGTTAGTTCCTCTGATAGTGTCAGCAGCAGCAATAATTCTTTCTTTCAACTGTGCAAGAGTGTCTATGGGCTCAGCGTACACCACTGACTTTATGTGCCCCCATAAATAATAGTCACACGGTGTTAAATCTGGGCTCCTCGCTGGCCACGGTGTCGGTCCACCTCGGCCAATCCAGCGACAAAGATATTTCTGGTCCAGCCACTGTCTAACACCCAGACGGAAATGCGCGGGACAGACATCCTGTTGGTAGATCATCTGCATCCTGATATTCAGAGGAAGGTCTTCGAGATACTCCCAGAGTTCGGATCTCAAAAAGTTTTCATAGGATGCGCCATTCAGGTTGTCAGACAAAAAAACTGGTCCAATTAGATACGTATGAATGATTCCCATCCACACGTTTGCCGAAATCTTCTTTGATGGGCTCTTGGCTTTGCCATGTGGGGATTTGCCTCTCGTGGGGCCCAATAATGTAAGTTGTGATAATTTGTTGTCCCCTCTCTGTCAAACTTAGACTCGTCGGTCCACAATATTTTAGTCAAACAGTCGTTTTCTTCTTGATCCCGATGAAGCATGTATCGACAAAAATCAATTCTTCTTGCGGGATCTCCTTCTTCTAATACTTGAACCGGTGTGTAATGGAAAGGGTAAAGTCTCGCCGAATGCAAAACGAACCAAACTTTCCACTGAGTTAAACCAAGCTGCTTCGCTATAACTCGTGTAGACATCGTCGGGTCTCTGCCGTAGCATTCCAGTATTGCCTCTCGATCTTCGTCGTCAAACAACCAAGGTCTACCAGCATCATGACGTCTCTCATGAACCTGTCCACTTTCCTTGACGCGTTGGTACACAGAAGCAAATACTCGATGACTCGGTATTCGCCGATTCGGAAAACGGTTTCGTATTCTCGCCTGGCTTCAACGGAATTTCCATCACTTAAACCGTAACAAAACAGAATATCAGCGTATTCTTCGTTACGGTAACTCGCCATTATTAAAACTGATCAAAAAAGTAAAAGTACGTCCTACCGCGTTAAAGGTTGATATCACTGGACAACAAATTTTAGTTTTTTAATTGTATCTTGTGGGAAAAGTGCACTCCTTTGTTAATTTTGGGGCGCTGAATCCAAAAATGATAACGAAATAAAAAAATTAGTTACGGTTTAGAAAAAAAACTTTTTATTTTTAAGGATATATTAAAAAAAGTAACAAGATTCATATACTTATAAGAATCACTATATGCGCTATCTTTTTGCTGTTCTTTTATGGATCGTTTCTGGAGCAAGTCTACCAAGAGTCCAATAGTAGTCTGCAAGCATGGAAGGATTCCACTTTCCCTGATACTTTTTTTCCATTGTTGAAATATCCTGATGAAAACGTTCGCCGTGCTCATCACTTACGGCTCCGCAATTGTCAGGAAAAAAGTCCAGGTGTGAGTGTAGGAAATGCATCTTAAGAGACATATTACAGCCCATCTTTTGATTCGATGACAGCATATTTTTGACAAGGGTTTTATAGTTGTCAGCTTTTCTATTTCCCAAGAAAATAGTGACCACCAGACCGAAATCATTCCAAGCAGTTTTTTCAATACCTGTTAAAGTGTTTTCAAACTGTGTATCTTTCAAAATATTTCGAATCTGTGGCCCAACAAAAATACCTTCTTTAACCTTTGCCCCACCTAGGTATTGAAAAGCTGACCCATCTCTATCTAATGCCTTGACAAAGTTTTTCATTAGGCCCAACTTGATATGCAGTGGTGGTAATAAATTTTTTTTCGAATCTACTAATGGCATACGCTGTAAATTTTTTTGATCTGGCTCTAGGAATTGACGAACAGGCCAGTTTTGTCTGGTGTAATGAAGTGCCTTTGCCCGACTGTCCCATTCACACAAAAACAGCAAAACTTTGTGTAGCCTAGCTGCAGCCCAAGTAAAAGTGCAACAACTTTCAAATCGCCTCAAATATGCCATTGGTGCTCATCGTATTTTATGCATGTCAATAGGTACTCCATATTGTCATATGATTCTTTCATGTGAACTGCATACCCTACAGGAAGAGATGGTAAAATATTTCCAATATGCAATAACACTGCCTTTAAACTCAATGTTGAACTGTCTATAAACAATCTCCATTCTTCTGGGTTATAGTTTATATTTAAAACCGCCAGTAAGCCGTTAATGTTACTGCAGAAAACCAAGTTATTCTCCATATTGAAAAATGATTCTAAGTCTTTGTGGCGTTTACGAAAAACACATACCGCAACATCGTCTTCTAAAAAGTTCCACTGCTGCAGTCTTGATCCAAGTAACTCTGCCTTACATTTTGGAAGTTCTAAATCTCTTACAAGATCATTTAATTCTGACTGTGTTATATTGTGCGGTTGGTGGCATGACGTGCTCGGAATAAAATCAGGATCTCTTGACGTTGATGGCATATCTTCTTCCTGACGAATCACTCGATCGCCATGATCTGATTCGTTTTCTGATTCGCAAGTGTAGGTTTTTGGGGGTTTTTGAATAGGATTTTCGTCACTGTGAGGCACAGGTCTGATCGCAGATGGTGTGTTTGGGTAGTTAATAACCGATTTTTTTTTCTTGGACATACTTGTGGCTTGTCCAACACAAGGTACCATGCAAAAGTAACAATCATTAATATGATTTGTAGGCTCTCTCCAAACCATTGGGACAGCAAAGCGCATAGACCGTTTTTTCCCATTTAACCAGCTCCTCAGACTTGAAGCACATGTATTACAGCAGATGTGGGGTGCCCACTGTTGTCTTGATCACCTAGTTTACAACCGAAATAAAGCTGATATGCCTTTGTTATTAGTGGAGTAATAGACCGTCTCTGAGTCGCAAAAGTCACATCACCACACACGTAACAAAACTGATCTAGATTGTTTACACACTTTCGAGACATCTTGCATGAACGCTGTCAGCCAACTGAGGAAAAAATGGCTAGTATAAAACAATATAATGTACACGTATGTATAACGTAACACAATCATGCCGATTACATCATCTTTCCTTGCCGAATATAAAAATGTAGCACTTGCATTCTTGTGAATTACAGTATATTAACACTGTCGCAGCAGGAACACATATAATTACCGTATCTCTAAAACTTGAACTAATATTGAAAAAATAAGTTTCATTCTGGTTTTAGCACATTAAAAATAGTAACATTTTGTTGATATTATTTAGGATATTTTTTGGCTGTTGATCAGTGTACTAACTAACCTAAGCGTTAGTTCCCTTTCCTTGATCCGTCAGCTGTGTCAATTCATAACACACGCAGAGCTTGCTTTCGAGGAGGGACGACAGATTCCAAATACTTAAACCCGAATAACGGCACAGGGCACAAAAAATAACAAAAAGGGTCGAACCATGAAAGGCTCGGTTTACCTGCTCAGTACAATGAAATGCGCTTACAGGTCCTTTCTAGCAAAGTAATATTGTTTTGTTAAATGGTTTACTTACTGATATGTTATTATATCATTTTAAAAACCTAATGAAACGAGCAAGTTTTTGCAGTTATTTGTACATTTTCTTTATTATGATTTTTTTGAAAAAAAAGACCTCTTAATGTGAAAGTTGAAAAGAAAAATTTTCATTTAACATTTAAATGAAAATAAATACGTTTTCATATGTTTTTTAATTTATGAGAATTATCTATTCAAATAATAACCTGAAACCACCTAAAAAGAATGTTTAATCACAAACTTTTTTTTATCTCAACTATTTTACACCGTCATCTGGGTTGTTTTTTTAAATAAATTAAATCTTCCATAACTTTTTTATCTTTGAATATAGGGTATGGTATTATATACTAATTTTGATAGCAAAGGATCTGTACTATCACCTCTTAAAATGTTTGACACCTATTTACGTGTCACCCTGTATTATATACGGAAAAACAGTTTATTGGCCAAATAACATGTAATTGCACCTGTCACGTACTGATGAATCCTTAAGGTAAGCGACCAAAGGTATAACCGCAGAACCGGGAAAAATGCAAAAGTTGCGCCTGTAATTGTTGTCAAAAAATACGGCGAAAGAACCTAGATCACCATCGACATACCCGCAAATAAATTCTAATGGACTATGTTATGTTTATAAGCTAGGGACTCCTACTCTACCTTTGACCGCATTCCTAACAAAGCATTCCCCATCATGTTGTAACAATTTAGTGATTCACAATGTCCAACACCTAGATTATGCCACTTATTGATGTGTTTCTAACAACGCAACGGTTATTCTTTTTATGTGATTAAGTAAAGCAATTTATATGGTAAATATACATCTTCCCACTACGTCTATCCTTTGTAAATTATTGATGACGCACACATTTATAAATATAAATAAAAACATTTTCGTCTGCAGTTGCTGCTGCAGCACAGAAGTTTATATAATGTGGTCTAGTTTTGTTGTATTTTTCTGTATTGCTGTAGCTTTCTGTGACAGAGTTTCTAGGGAGGATGAAAAATCTCATCATATACCTGATAGGAGTGTTTACAATATAAGGTAGGCGTTTGTCATATAGTATTATAGTTCAATGTACCGTTGGTTTTATAAGTAAGCAGTAAGCTACATTTGTAATCTATTTAGTTGAACATCGACGTCTATCTAGGAGTCTTTTTTTGTCCGTTTTGCGCTCTTAACAATGGCGAAGGTGTTAACATTCAGTAGCCTATATCAGAACTGTCTACACCAGATATTGCTTAAAATATACTAAGTGACATATAAATCCGAACACCCAGTTTAAATGGTTTTATTTTAATAAAATTTTGTATAAGTACTTAATGAAGCATAATAAGTAAATGATAAAAATTTCAAAATGATTGCACTGCTTTAAAGCCCTTTGACCTTTAATAATGTGTCGATGCACCCTGATGTGCTACGCATTCTCCAACGCGCCTAGGCATACTTCTAATCAGGTGGTCAATGTCCTCCTGTGGTATCTCATTCCAGGCAACCACCAACTCCTCTCGAAGTGCTTCTAGAGTCTGAGGAGGACGTTGCAAATTGAGCAATCTCCTACCCATCATATCCCACACGTGCTGAATTGGGGATAAGTCGGGAGATCTTGGTGGCCATGGTAACAATGTGACATCATTATGTTGAAAGAAGTCTATTATTGTGACTCTTGCAACATGTGGTCGGGCATTATCTTGTTGGAAAGTTGGATCTGCCAGGGTGTCAAGACAGGGTAAAAGATGGGGTTCTAGAACTTCGTGGATATAACGCTGCGCGTTCATGTTACCTCTGATGAAGATTAAAGGTGACCTGGAACCATAAGCTATAGCACCCCAAACCATAACTCCAACAGTGTGATGAACATGTCTTTCAACAAAAAACTGTGGATTCCTCCTTTCACCACGTCGCCTTCTAACCCTGCCACGACCATCGTGCATGCCTAAACAAAATCGAGACTCGTCACTAAAGACAATACTGTTCCATTCCTGATCCCAGAGTGACCGTTGTCTGCACCACTTAAGGCGATTACGTTGGTGTAAGGGTTAGAAGGCGACGTGGTGAAAGGAGGAATCCACAGTTTTTTTGTTGAAAGACATGTTTATCACACTGTTGGAGTTATGGTTTGTGGTGCTATAGCTTATGGTTCCAGGTCACCTTTAGTCTTCATCAGGGGTAACATGAACGCGCAGCGTTATATCCACGAAGTTCTATAACCCCATCTTTTACCCTATCTTGACACCCTGGCAGATCCAACTGTCCAACAAGATAATGCCCGACCACATGTTGCAAGAGTCACAATAGACTTCTTTCAACATAATGATGTCACATTGTTACCATGGCCACCAGGATCTCTCGACTCATCCCCAATTGAGCACGTGTGGGATATGATGGGTAGGAGATTGCTCAATTTGCAACGTCCTCCTCAGACTCTAGAAGCACTTCGAGAGGAGTTGGTGGTTGCCTGGAATGAGATACCACAGGAGGACATTGACCACCTGATCAGAAGCATGCCTAGGCGCGTTGGAGAATGCGTAGCACATCAGGGTGCATCCAGACATTATTAAAGGTCAAAGGGCTTTAAAGCAGTGCAATCATTTTGAAATTTTTATCATTTACTTATTATGCTTCATTAAGTACTTATACAAAATTTTATTAAAATAAATCCATTTAAACTGGGTGTTCGGATTTATATGTCACTTAGTATATATTCCCGAAGGTTGATCCGTATGCTCCGCCTATGTCTCCTTTGCATATGCTCATTTAATGATTGTTGTTGAGAGAAAGACAAGTGATCTTAGTAGGAGACTTTTAATAGAAATGGATCCTGTTGCTGAAGGAGTAGTAAAAATGTGTTCTAAGAATTGGCCCCAAGCACGTAGACTCTGCACTTCCTGCGCAACGACGTCATCAGTCGTAAAGGATTAAGTTCAGTAAAAGTCAAAAAGACAGTTCAGAAAACCTACAACATCAATCTATAGACATTCAATGTTGTTCCTCGTAGTTACCGTCCACCTGGCAGCGTTACCCCTTATCAGACGCGGCATCGCTGCAGCGCGAGCAGGACAGTCAGCCTGATCGGTACGCCGGGCGGTGCGCCCAGATAGCCAGAGTCAAATGTTAGTAATTCTTTCATTGAATGATGTCCTCAAAGGTTGAATCCTGCGTCAAAGATTGGTAACAACGTACCAATAGACCTTTGACGAAAAGTTGTGAGTGATTAAATCAAAACTACAAAAAATACCTCTCTATAGAGTACATACACATTTCTTGACCTCGAAGACAAACCCAGAGGTTATAGCAAACCTAATATTAACCTAAAATATGGTGTATGTTAGATCCTTTTTTGGGTACATTGGTAAGGAGAAATGATCTTAAAAATAAAAAATAATTCAATCCGTCTACTAAATAACACTATTATACACCTCGAGGCTACAACGATCCGTTTAGTAAATGTTCTTCTAGTTTAAGACCTTGACAGCAACTTTGAAAGAAAAATCTATATTTTGAAGAGCTTGTAAGTGCCCTGACTGAAGTTAAGGTTACCATTAATATGCTTTCATTGCTATACTGATCTTTGATGACTGTTTGGTTCTCGGTCCTTTTAATGGTAATGCGTGCTAGTTTCTTCAGTGATATTTGAATATAATTTGGAAGATGTCTGAAAATTTAAACCCACAGAGGCCTAAGGTTACCTCACAATACTACCGAGCTGTTAATGCGTTCGGCTCACTATATGGACTGTGTAATTCAGAACGTAATTTTTAAGTGATTTTCTTCTCTGTGACACATTTCAGAACCCACATTTTTTTTCTTTGGAACAACCCAATACGGGATTTTAAAAAAAGCTTTAAGGCGTATCAACCACAGAACTATCAAATTCGAACACCAAACGCTACTAATAAACGCACTTCGATAAAAATGGCATTCTGACCAAAAATTAAGACCAAGTTTCACATGCATTTGTAACTTGACCTCTAAGTAATTACTACGTCTAAAATAGGCCAACGTGGTAAAGATGTACTGTTAGTTAGAGTCGTCGGGGAAAAATTCCTACGGGTCAGAATTCTAAAGAACTGCCACATTTTAATCTTAAAATATGAACAGTAATCTCTTGTTTACATATTATGTTAGTCTTTCCAAAAATACTTGAGTCACCCAAAACACACTTACTTTGCACATAATTAACTACTTCGCGCCTAAAAGCAAGGCGTTCTTACAATTTGAGGTTATCCTGTAATCAGAGTGTCTCGTTCAAATTGTTAGCAAAATTCGTTAATTGAGCTTATTTTCAAGGTCCCTGAAGTTTTTGCAAATATTTTGTCCACATTTGACAAAAAATGTCTTGTGAATAGATTCTTTTTTTGAGGCATTAAAATATTTGCCTTTCAAATACGAGCCCCCTCCCACTTCAGTTGGCCCACTTCAAGATTTGTACCAAAATATGCCTTTATAAACTAAACATGACGAAACTATTTACTTCTAAAACAATTTATTTTCTCAAGAACATTTTTGATACACCCTAGTCGTAAAAAATATATATCTGAAATCACTTAGACCTATAACTAATAGAACATCTGAACAAATAAACAATGTGCGAATAAATGCGCGAAGTTAACAAAGCAACAATTGAAAGATTACCTTTGGTTAATACCACCTTTATTTTTTATTACGGCTGAAATTCTTTGGGGCAGCGTTAACCAAGTTTTGGAAAAAATTTAGTGAAAAACAATCCCATATTTCTTGAATCTTTTGTCTCAGTTCGGTGATTGTACGAGCAGGATGTTGTCGTAGAACCTTTTTCATTTCGTGTCAAAAGTTTCAATAGGTGACAGATCTGGACTGCTAGAAACCCAGTTCAAAAGTGATACATTATTTTCTTCCATCCATTTTAAAGCCTTTTTTGAGGTATGGCACGCTGCACCCTCTTGCTGAAACACAAAATCTTGGCCGAATGTCAAACATTCTTCCATCACTGGTAAAAGCGATTCTTCTTAAATTGCCAAATATTTGTTTGTATCCACATTTCCATCAATAAAATGAAGTTTTCCTACTCCTCTTGATGACATGCTGCCCCAGACCATAATGGATGCTGGAAATTTCACTTTTCTCTTCAGACAGTCAACATGGAATGCTTCATTTTTTTGGCGAATAACTCTACTGCGACTGTCACCAACACAAACTTCGAATCGGGCCTTATCACTCCATTGTATTGCACACCATTGTTGAGGTGTTTATGTTCTTTAGCCCATCTAAGCCGATTTTTTTTTGCAATGGAGTTAATAGCGGCTTTTCTTTGGCTTATAAACAAGTTATGCAACTTTAGGGTTTTTACTTCACTTTTTTTTTATAAGAAAACTTACTTTGCAAGTGCTAAATCCCAGTTTGTGGGCCTCTCTATGAGTTGTGGACCTCGAAATTCTCCTTCCAACAGCGTCACTCCACAGAGCACTTAATTGTAAATAATTGGCACACCTGTTTTTCACGACTATTCTTCTTAATGCTCTTCGGTCGGCATTTGTGATATTGCTTTTTTTCACATATCGTGGCTTAATATTAACTGAACCTGTTACGTTATATCTGCTAACAATATTTCTCACACTGTACCGGGATAAGTCTAACAAAGTTGCAATTTCTGAGTTTGATTTCCCAGAATTAAAAAATTTAATTATCAGTAACCGAATTTTCTCACTAATAACCTTTCCTCTACCCATTTTGAAAACCTTAACTACCCAAAACTATTTTAAACGTATTCTGACAGCTGTGATTAATAAAAACAATTGTCATGGCTTTTATTTGTCACAGCCACCTATGCGTTATAGACTTATTTTGTATTGAAATGGAAATGGGTTGATATGCTGAAATTGCAGCATGTGTTATTTTTATTCTGCAAATTTGATTAGGGAGTGATAAAGTTGGTGTTTTCTATATATTATCAAAATATTCATTGTTAATATTTTAAACCTATAATAGCCTGCTATATTTTTATTATTTGTGTTTCATAAGAAAAAACTAAGATTTGAATAGTTGGGCCAACTGAAGTGGGAAGGGGCTCGTAGACAAATGTTGATCAGACGCAGGTAATTTTATAGAGCAAAATTACTGCGATTTTAACACATGATGACCTAAATAGTTATTTATTCCCTGATAGTAATTGCCTCATCGACTTAATATTGACTTTTAAATAACTTGGATTTTATTCCCCACTTTGGAAAAAAGGTAAACGCGTGGAAGTAAATATGACCTCTTTTAAATTGGTTATGCAATCTCATTAACCTATTTTGTGTGTCGAATCCATGTTGTTATAACTTGAAGTGTTTGTCGTGTTCCCCCAGCCATTACAACCCCAGGGCTCAATCTAAGCCTCTACAAACATTTATCCAAGAATGAACAGTAGCTTCTGGAATTTTAAAAAATAAGTTTCAGCGGCTTTAATTCTTTTTTTGGTTTTTACCTCTAGCTCTGCGGCCATTGAACCGATTTTCAAAAGTACAAAGCATTTCTTCCTTGTTATAGTAGGGACCTAGTGTGAAAACTTCATCCAGATTCTTCTTCTCATGCTATAAACGGGCCAAGGAATAGTGGAAAGTTAGAAGACAGACCGGCAGATCGACGGAAATGTGTGACATGTTGTACATGATATGTAATATCAAAAAACATCAATTACTTATGATATAATCAAGCTACCGGGCTGCAAAGGCATCTTGCAAAACCTTCATGACAGATAGCGGGCATCCTGTAACGTTCACGACTGACCAAAAACATTATAAAAGTGCATCAAGAGAGATATAAATTTAATAGTAAAACTGCTATGCTGTCCTATACCTAGCAGGCTTTGAACTGGTAGATTACCAGTCATATTCGTCAGATCTATCTGCCAATCTCCCCCACCCCCCTATCTTAGATTATTTGCAAGATTAAAATAACATAAACCCCAGAGAAAAAAACTTAAGCGTGAAACTGCCAAAGAGGATTATCAGCAACCGGACATCGACTGAGCAAGTTGCGATGATGTTATTGGGGTTAACATAGAAAAATAAAGAATATGAGTTAACTGTAGTCCAGCGGCAAGTAAATCAGGGGCGGATAATAGGTAACCTTGTTAGACTTCGCATGTACTCTTGATGTTTTTGGAACTTCCTAATTATTCTATTGTTGCTGAGTGATTACGGTTATATATTCTCTTTTGATGCATTGAGCTATTGCGGTAAATATTGAGCTGCTCTATCTACAATTTGAAGCCCTTTAGATTAGTCTTTCCTTAAAGTGGACAATAATTCCCCCTTGTGACTGCTGGAAATATAGGGAGGGCGGTAAAGTGCATTGACCAGACTGAGGAGGCGGTGAATAGATTTGTAGGGGGAGGATTCTAGGGGCCGTATCGTCAGTCGTTCCTACAATTTATTGTAGGACACACCAGATTAAGTATTTTTGAAGGGCGATAGCAATTATTTGATTATTAAAATGGGCAGTTGACTAAATAATTTTGAGAACCTCTGCTCTAGATAGCCTTGAGAATAACTGTGTCTTTGAGAGCTTGGAAATAACATATTTATCAAATAATGGGTGATTTTTTTGCTAGTATCTTCTTGGCAACACTGTTTTTGACAGATGACGCGTGAATCGTGTCTTGTGTCATTGTCAAACTTCTTCAGCTTGGTCTATAATTTAACCATGAATCGACTTACGAACGAACAACGCTTGCAAATTATTGAATTTTACTATCAAAATTCATGCTCGGTTAAGAGAATGCATCGAGCACTGCTTCCAATTTATGGGCAATTTGGTCGGCCTACTGAGGGAGCTATTCGGAAGCTTGTGACTAAATTTCGAACCCAGTTTATATTATTGGACATTAAACCACCAACACGCAGACGTAGAGTGAGGACTGAAGAAAATATTGCGGCTGTATCCGCCAGTGTTAGTAATGACCGTGAAATGTCGATTCGCCGCCGTTCGCAGCAATTGGGCCTCTGTTACCCCACTACGTGGAAAATTTTGCGACAGGCTTTGGCTGTAAAACCTTACGAGATACAGCTGGTGCAAGAATTGAAGCCACACGACCTCCCACAACGTTTCCAATTTGGTGAATGGGCGCTGGCAAAGTTGGAGGAAGATCCACATTTTTATCGAAAAATTGTGTTCAGCGACGAAGCTCATTTCTGGTTGAATGAGTACGTTAACAAGCAAAATTGCCGCATCTGGAGTGAAAACCAGCCAGAAGCATTGCAAGAGCTACCAATGCATCCCGAAAAAATCACTGTTTGGTGTGGATTATGGGCCGGTGGCATCATCGGGCCGTACTTCTTCAAAGACGACAATGGCCGGAACGTAACTGAGAATGGCGAGCGCTACCATGCGATGATAAAAAACTTTTTTTGCCCAAAATGGAAGAACTGGACTTGGCTGACATGTGGTTTCAACAAGACGGTGCCACATGCCACAACGCACACGAAACAATGGCCCTATTGAGAGGCGAGTTCGGTGAACAGTTTATATCACGTTTGGGGTCCGTCAATTGGCCGCCTAGGTCATGTGATTTAACGCCGTTGGACTATTTCTTGTGGGGCCATGTTAAGGCTAATGTCTACAGGGATAAACCAGCAACGATTGACGCACTGGAAGCCAATATTGAAGCATTTATTCGTGAGATACCGGCCGATATGTTGGAGAGAGTGTGCCAAAATTGGACCTTGCGCATGGGGCATCTAAAGCGGAGCCGCGGCCAACATTTACTTGAATTAATCTTTAAACATTAAATTATATCGACCGTTCTATCGACTCAAATAAAGATTTAATCGTTTTTTCACATTTTTTGTGTTTTTTTTTTGAAAATCAAATCTTATACCTCTTAAAAAATCACCCGTTATATCTACGCTTAGTAACTGTGAAGGCAGTGTCAGGACCCTCCACTTTTTAAAAAAATCATAAAGTCTTTTGCAGTGGACCTAGTTACTGGGTAACGAACCTTTGATATTAACTGGTATAAAATTAACTTGAACATACGACCGTATTGCAAGCGACTTATCTCGTCACTAATGTCTAGCATTTGCATGATACAAGCTTTGGTCTTTCTTGTACAATTCACAACAACAATATATGAGACCTTGCGTACTTGATTGTTTCTTTCTACTCCACCTATTATTTATTATTTATTGTTGCAGCTATGCGGCTTCCGATGGTACTGAACGACACGAAACAGGTCTACTGAGGCAGAAAGGAGATACAAGTTTTCTGGTAGTGAAAGGCATATACAGTTGGCTGACAGCTAGAGGCACATGGCAGGTCACCTACGAAGCAGATGAAAATGGATTTAGATCAGAGACAGTCCTATTGCCACCTCGACTGCGTGCACCTATTCTTAATATCAGAATTCAAACAAATGGAATTGCTTCTTTAGTTGGTGGAGGACTGGGTTGATGAATAAACGTTAGCTCAGTTTCTTATTTTCGATCAAAACACCGCCAAAAATGCCAGTGAGGTACATCAGATCAGTACTAGAGTATACAGGGGTGCATTTGTATATCACTTGGCAATGTAATACTGTACACAGTAATGGAATGTAACTAGATTGACAACTGAAATTTTACTCTGGAATACTGTGAAAGCGTAAATTATTACAGAGTCATGTAATGACACTTGATGACACCCGCATGGGCATCATGTAAAAAACCTATAAAATATCAAAACAAAAAACCTATAAAATGTCACCTTGCAAACTAGGAAGTTTTTAGGGTGCAAATAGTCATCCCACGTTTGCTCACTTTTGTGAACGTTCATCTAAGGAGCAATCACTCAATTAAACTAAACGCATTATTGGTTGCATATGTTGTGTGATACCAAATGGTTCTTGTCTGTAGTTTTTATCTCTGAGAAGACAGTTTATGTGTATTGGTCTGTATGTGTATAAAATCAGTGATATTTGCTGTGTGAGAAAATCGTTACTTAATATGCTGCCAATGAAGTATATCTATTGGCTGTGCCTGACGGGTTATTTTTATGTTGTGCTTTCTGAAGAGAGGTTATGTTCAATGTTATAAATTACGAAAAACTGGGGAGAATTGCGAGAAATCATCACCGCGCCCGCGGTGTGTGTAATTACTGTTAGCATGTACGTATATATGGCTTGTAATTCGACAGTGTACAGTGAATATAATTATTGCTTATCTCTCTCACTTTTGAAATTCAGCAAGATTGTATATGTAATTTCCAGAATGGATAAGAAAAAGTGAATGCGCAACTAGCTTTGAATCTCAATAAAGTGTATTTGAGACAAGAACCCAATGTAATTATCATCAACACATACAACTTACAGCTTAGACCTCCAGTAATGCCATCTCAGAAGCAGATTTTACATCACATCAGAGCCAAAGTTTGATAACAAGCTACATGACGTTTAGGCAACACTTACAACTAAGTGCTGAGTTAATATCTTGTAGAAAAAACTTACATAATGTCAAAAAAAAAAACAGCATAATGTCAAAAAAATCGGCATAAGGTCACTTTTCAATTCACGTGATACCCGTGCCGACTGATTTCTAACCACGTTGTATGCGACCATTGAAGTTATTATAAGAGATCCTAGGGATACGAGATAGCATTCATAATGAAAAACATAGGGTAAAGTGGTGCAAACACGACACGATTTTTAAATCTTTTAATTTTTTGTCAACAAAAAACCGGACTTTAAGGCTTTGTTATATTGCCGTGTATATAGAAAGCCATGTAGTATACCTCACGTTAAAAAAGGTTCATAATATTCATAATGAAGGGCGTTTTTGTTAAAAAACCGTGTCTCGTTTTTAACCACCATTTAGGCTAAAAACGAGACAGTGAGAGGTTAAAAACAAGACACTGTATTTTCTGGCCTTTTAGTCATTTTACATCAGTGTGGCAAAATATGAGACTCTGGGGAATAAAAACGAGACACACTGCAAGGGTTTTAAAGCGTTTAGTAAGTAAAATAACATAGTTAGGTTTTAAATTGTGACAACGTTCTTAAAGAAAACTCACATAATTAAATACAAAACTATGTTTATTAAACTAAAAAGAAAACAAATCCAAAAACAAGTTAAATAAACCATACCTAATTCAAAAAAGGGGTAAAACAAGATTTCAATAGGATTTTAAGAGCTAAAGTAGAAAGCTTATTATTCTAACGTATATTGTACTACATATTATTGAACGACGTATTTTTGAAAGTCGATAGGAAACCAATATTGCTGGGTGATACGACAGGTCTTACTTTCTATTTCTGGCTGGGGAAGTTTCATTTCTATGTCAGTTTTGTCGATGAAGTACTTTTCCTCGATGGAGGGAAAAATAAATTTAAATCCTTTGCGCCTCAGATATTTTACTTCTACATCGCTCTCAAAAACCTTAAGGATTTGTGCCACGTACTAAACTTGCGTCTTTTGCGTTTTTTTGACTTAGTCTATTGCGCTTACAGAAATTTTTAAACCAATCTTTCCCGGGCTTTCCTTCCTTAAACTGGGTAGTAAGGTGGTTTTCTTGTACGTAGGTTTGAACTATTGCTTGAATCTCTGGTTTAGTGAGGGTAAACCCCCATTTTGCCATAATTTTTATATTATCACTTAAGTCTACTTCCATTTCTTTGGTTAGAGAAGTTTTTCTTCCCTGTTTACCAAGTGAACGAGTACGTGTGCTCGAAAAAGCAGATTTGACAATTTAAACTGTTTAGCTGCATTTCTAAGAGATGTGCCATTATCTGTTAGTTTTAGGGCTGTTTCCATGTTCCTTTTATCGTAGGGGCGCTTTTTGGGAACGTAAACCTTCGGCATTATTATCAAAGGTATAAAAGCTGTCTTGTTTTTAAACTTTGTGGTGTCTCGTTTTTGCACCTGTTATTCACGACGTGCCTGCTTGCCAACAAATAAAAATAGACTAAATTCGATATGGAATATCATAGCCGCATTTATTATTTTGAAAACGCGATACTTGCCGAGTCTCTACGATCACGTACAGCGGCGCAACAGGAAAAGTTTGTAAATACAATTAAAAGATTTTTTAAGCAAAATGCACAATCAGATGCGATATTTTTTTCTCGATGTTTGTATTCACGTTTATTTATTGTTCATTACATATTTCAATTGTATATATGTGGAAGTTATTTGTAACGTATTTTTTACAATGTTATTGTTTTTTGCATTGGGAAAAATTGACTGTCTTGTTTTTGACCGAAATTTCGGCGGTCTCATTCTTGCACCACTTGACCCTACATATATTCTGTCAATTCTGAGCAGTTTTTGATAAACAAATAAAATAAACAAATAATGAGTCATGAGAATTCTAAGTGACAGAACTCTTATTAATGTTCGTTCACGTGCGTTGCATAGGAAGTGCAGAGTCAACCTACTTGATTTTTTGTATTTCCAAGCGTATTGTTTAGAGTGAACGACTATAAGGATTGTTGTCATACATCCTGCTCTACTAACAGATGTCTAATAACGAAAATGTCCGAAGAACCACAGCGGCGAGACATGTATGCCCCTCTCCTTTCTTCATTTTTAATGATTTGATATACTGAAAATCCACCAGTCGCCGCACTTATGTGGAAAAAATTACGAATTTAAGCGGTATTCCGTCTTTTTGTGCAAAAACATTTAATTCGTATTTTAGAAACCGATTCATTAGCATGTTGATACATATTAAGTATGAATTTCAAATTGGATTACATCTAATTTATTTTCTTTCTGGCCTCGGCATTTTTTTTCAAATCTCCATATATCCTTTAAGCTAGATTATGAAGTGATGTAGCATGGGTAATCCGCATTCCATTCATTCGCAAAACTTTCCGCCACTTATAAAGAAATAACGAGTTCTAGGAGTACCGCAGCAACACCCTGTAATTTGGATGGAAGCACATTTTTGACTAACGCATAAGTCGAGAGATTCAAGTGTGCAATCGGTCGATATCTCGAATATTGTAAAAAAATATTTAGAAAAATTGTAGGCTCATCCTCTATACTATAGGGTGATTCATGACTACGTGGTAACAGAGAATTGCATCTTCGTGAGAGGACTAACCTGCATATTCGGTATATCCTGAAATACTTCTTGAACGAAACTACAGGTTCTGGAGACTTTGCCTGAAAGAGCACCCAACTTTGACAGCTTGTAAGTCAATTTTGCAGGTAAGATAGCGAAATGTTCATCAAAATGAGCTTTATGTTCCATAGTTTCTTGTCGTCAGCAACTTCTTTAAAATTTGGTGTACTGTTTGTATAAGGTGTTTATAAGTCCTAATTCACTTTTTTACTTCCCACGCCTACCGGCGAGGAGGTATTATAATTATTGCAAGAAATTTTGAAAATGAGGTAATATGATTTTTTATGTTCTATGACATCATGTTAAGTCCTGTCACTCATTTCCGTCGGTCTGTTTGTCTGTCTGTCTGTCTGTTCTTGGCCTCACTAGAACTTGGAAAGTAATATACAAGCAAATGTACAAAATACTCAGCCTTCAAAAAGAACTTTGAACTCATTTATTTTGGATAAAGTCGAACAATGTGAAGTATGCACCACTGTTATGTCCTTAAAAAATCGGAAAAGTCCTGGGTTCGATGGTATTAAAAGCGAGCATTTGAAAATTATAGCCGAGGACATAACAGAACCACTCACTTACCTAATCAACAAATGCTTTAAATCTGGCATATATCCCTCAATTTTAAAAAGAGGTAATATAATACCGATACATAAATCAGGAACAAAAACAGATGTTAACAACTATAGATCAATATCAATAATATCCAGTGTAGCAAAGGTTTTTGAAAAAGTTTTATCTACTAGAATGATTCGATACCTCACAAAATTCAAAATTTTAAGTGAAAATCAATATGGATCTACAGAAGGGAAGGCTACATCGGACGCAATAACTAAAATTGTAAATCAAATATATCAAAATATTGATAACAGAATCCCTTCAATCTGCATTTTTGTTGATTTAAAGAAAGCTTTCGACACAGTTAATCACAAATTATTATTAGAAGCATTGGAGAGAATTGGTTTCAGAGGAAACGCGTACTCACTGATCGAAAGTTATTTGTCAAATCGCCCACAATCTGTGCAGATATCAGGATCATTTAGTAAAGAAATGTATATTAAGTGTGGTGTCCCACAAGGAACTGTCTTAGGTCCGCTGTTATTCAATATATATTTAAATGATATTTCGAAATTAATTGTGTTGGCAAAATAACTAGTTTTGCAGATGATACTGAAATATTATATGAAGGCACTGACTGGTCTGATCTGAAAAATGTAATTGAAAATGATTTTATCAAAATTATTCGGTGGTTTAACAGTAGAAAATTAAGCTTTAACTACTCTAAAAGACATTTTTTACCATTTGGATCTTATGCTAGACATCTGCCAAATTACACAAATTTCTCCTTCAATATTAATGATCAAAAAGTGCAAATTAATAGAGTGCCCAACATAAAATACCTTGGTGTGGTCTTGGATCCTCACTTACGATGGGACATCCATGTCAATTATATTTTAAAGAAAGTTAGATTTGTAGCCTACAAAATTAAATACCTTGGGAATATATTAACAGAAAAATATCTTCAAACATTATACCATGCACTGATTGAGCCTCATCTCACATTTGGTATATTAGCATGGGGAGCTGCATGTTCCTCACATATCTATAATTTAGATGTTTTCCAAAAAAGTATTCTAAAAATGATATTTAAAAAACTGAAACTTTATCCCACTGAAAAATTATATGCAGATGTTCGAATCTATGATATAAGACAGCTTTATTTCTTACACAGTATCACTCACTACCATAAATTTGTAAACACCGACCAAAAAATTAAACAAAATCATTATACCAGGTACAAAATTCGTGGCACAGTAGTTCCTCAACCGCATAAATCTATAATGCAGCGATCATATCTCTATTTAGCGCCTAAATTTTATGAAATTATACCTAAAGACTTAAAAGATTTACGTTTCGGAAATTGTTTCAAAAGAAATTTAAAAAAGTGGCTACATTCTATATCTAGGACTGAAATTCATAAACTCATAAATACGAACATCAACTAAATACATAATCTACTGTAGCTAATTTTTGTCCTTTTTTGTCATTTGCATTCTACAGTTTCAACTTAAATTATTGCTCCATGTACAGGCGATGCCTTCTATTGGGCCTGTTTTGATTTTATATTTATTTACTCATATTGTTTGTTATCTTTGTACATTGAGTAATTAAATATTATTATTATTATTATTACTACATGGATTTTGATGACATCTTCACACAAGGTTACTACTATGCCAAGGACGAAAAAGCTTTGTATTTTTTCGAAAATCAGATCAATGGCGGCCCAGAATAATGCCACACACAGAAAAATCAGATTCGCTCAAGCTTCGTTCTTTTGACGTTTCAGAGGTCCTGATCATTGTTGGAATAAAATTTAGGTATAAAAATTAGTGGTAAGTGGTTGTAGGAGGTTTCAAGCTTGTATCGCAATTTTTTGACAGAAGAATTGATGTAATCCGGTAAGTCTAATTAATATCCATTAGATATTATTAGATATTATTAGATATTAGATATTATTTCACACACATCATAGATTTCCTGGTATATGCCCTTGAAACTGGGGAAAATATTTTCAGTCAGATCCCGTACCTATCGGTCGCACTCTCCGTGCGCCCCAATGGTGTAAATATTGGATTTTTGGTAGGCGATCCGGATCGCGCGGTGACGCGATAAGTACATATACTAAGTGACATATAAATCCGAACACCCAGTTTAAATGGTTTTATTTTAATAAAATTTTGTATAAGTACTTAATGAAGCATAGTAAGTAAATGATAAAAATTTCAAAATGATTGCACTGCTTTAAAGCCCTTTGACCTTTAATAATGTGTAGATGCACCCTGATCGCATGCTTCTGATCAAGTGGTCAATGTCC